TCTCTCTCTCTCTCTCTCTCTCTCTCTCTCTCATGCTCACACCCACACCCACATGCGCACGCATACACACATGCATACCCACATATCCACATTCATACCCACAACTATACCCACACCCGCATCCAAACACGCTCTCTCTCTCTCTCTCTCTCTCTCTCTCTCTCTCTCTCTCTCTCTCTCTCGCATGCTCACACCCACACCCACACCCACATGCGCACGCATACACATGCATGCATACCCACACATCCACATTCATACCCACAACCACAACCGCACACACACACACACACACACACACACACACACACACCCACCCACACACACACACACACACACACACACACACACACACACACACACGCACACACTGGCGCTTAAATGTTCAATCAACTGCAGCACAGCGTCAACTGCAACGAAATGGTCTGAAATAGGTAACTAAAGAAAGAAAATTTTAAAGAGCGAAACAAGAAGTAAAGTCTAACGAGGCTCTTGAAAACAGCGATAAACAAAATATATTTTCAAATGAGAAGAACTCCTTCACATAAAACCATTGCACATGGAATTCACAAAGTTACCATACCTGTGCTACATATGGGTATGCTTCGTCGACAACAGCGAAGTTGGGGTCGCCAACAAGAGCAATTCCTTCAAGCACACCAATTGCGCGGATGATGTACGCAAAGTAAGGTGGGATTCGGAATGGGTAGTCAAAAGTTACTTGTGCTAAGTCGGCAGCCAGGTCCTGCAATTACACCACAACCGCGCACGGCATTCACAAGAAAGTTCAGCCCCCTTCCCTTGCATACGTTCACAGCTGCTTTGTCTCTCTCCTCTTTCCCACTTCTTGCTTTCCCCTTCCTCTGCCCTTCGGCTCTTGTTGCCTCCCTCCTTGAAAAAAAAAAGAAAAGAAAATAAAAGGAGCAGTACCTGCTGGCAATCAAGCCCTCTCTCCTCCTTTCATTTCTTTTAATGTCTTCTTTCCTCTGTGTGTGAAACTCTTTTCACATCTCTATATAGCATACTTGCGGCGGGCTTCTCCGGTGCGCATGCGCCATGCACCATGCGCAAATTCTGTCTCTTATACACATCTATATGTGTATAATCTCTCTCTCTCTCTCTCTCTCTCTCTCTCTCTCTCTCTCTCTCTACCTACCTACCTACCTACCTACCTACCTACTCCTCTACATCTAGCGCAGCACTGTATCGCGCGGCTCCAGCAGGGTGTCGCCCAAGAAGTGAGCCACTCGAACTGTGTGTCTGCCCTGGCCTGGGCCAGCTATATGTAGCGCTGGGCCTCGCTGGTGTGCCTCTGGTCCTGGCCTGAAACGGCCCGCCTGGGTCCCTACCGGATGTCCGGGCCCTACCTGTTGATGCAGCAGGGAAGGTCCGCTACTGGACGAACACGAACCTGGCCCGAAAGGGCCTGACTGCGAACGAAGAAGGGCCAAAACGTGGCCTTTGGCCAAACAGACCGAAAGTCTGTTCGGACGAACGGCAAGTCCGAAACGACGCCTCAACAGACAAAAACAGGACAGCAAATAAATAAATAAATGCTGCCTCAAATCGAATCCTGCGCCCCTAAGGCTGGCCGTGGGCCTCCAGGGCGCACGCACGAATGGTGTGCGGCCTGCCCCCCCCCCCCCTGCAACTGTTGGGCCCCCGAAATGGGGCCCGTGTGCAGGCTCAGCATGTAACATACCTCACAATTGCAACTGCAATTGCTCTGTGTTTGTTGCAATGGCCATCTGACGTAGTAGCTTTTGAAACCGCTGTCCAGCACCGTAAAGACATGTATTCCAAAATCGACGTGCAGCCTAGTCAACACCAGCAGTTCGTCGCACATAGCCATCATGAGCACACGTGGTAAATAAGTGGTGTCATTTTTGCCGAATTTTTAACCGAAACTGCCATATTGCCTTGATTTTTTGGCTGTTTTACTTGATTTCTTTTTTTGTGTGACATGTATGTGCTTTAGGGGACATCCTGTATTCAGTTTGGACACATTTGGACCATTAAATACAAAGTTGGCAAAACACCGAATTCATTGAATGCTTATTTAAATCCCGAAAGCATTTGTGTCAGGTTTTTTTAGTGTTTTCGAGTTCTTTATTTTGTTTTCTTTTGCCTCTTTGTTCTTTTTATGTTTGTATTATGAGCCTGCATTGTTTGTTTCCAAAATCTTACACCACGTTGCTTGTGGCCATGCGCGGAAGCCAAATTTTTCACCGAAAAGAGAAGGAAAACGAAGAGGAGGTGCTGTTTGTGCGGTGCCATGGGCACGGGAATCCCGTTTCACTCCCTTTCTTGATTAGCACAATCTGTCTCTGACACCATGCAGTTCCTTTTTCTTTTTCTGTCTTTTTTTGGGATGTGTGTCTGTGTCTGTGTGCGTGTGCGCGCCGGCACGCACGAGAGAGAGAGAGAGAGAGAGAGAGAGAGAGAGAGAGAGAGAGAGAGAGAGAGAGAGAGAGAGAGAGAGAGAGAGAGAGATTTCTGGACTCTTACTTCATCGAGGATGAACTCGCGGAAGAACTCTCCTTGTGGAGATAACAGAAAACCAAGCGCGATTCTTGTCCTCTGCTGACCCTTTGGAAGTATTTCCACGATGGGTGATGACTGCAGCATCATCGGTGCCATTCCCCTAGGATCTGGCAAGACCAATCCAAGGGGTCCAAGAGCACGCACCCAGGATGACGACACTCCGTTCACTAGCGTTCCCAGGGCATTAGAACTGGATGTTCTTGAACTCCCATTGAGGAAAGTGGGTCCATCGCCAGCATATGTTGACAGGTTTGCCATCTCGGCGAATCGGCCTGTTGGTCCTGCATCTCCGCTTCCTGTCCCCGCAATGAGCGTGAAATTCTCAAAGGCCTGAAGAATGTCCACAAAGCGATCTACATCGAACACATTTGACTGCAACCAAAAGAAAAATCAATCACAGTTGCACACGCGAAAAGCACACGGGCAAAGAGTCAAAGACCAACCTCCGTCATCCAGTTCGACAATTACCCAAGACTCTCTCTCTCTCTCTCTCTCTCTCTCTCTCTCTCTCTCTCTCTCTCTCTCTCTCTCTCTCTCTCTCTCTCTCT